CCCGGAGGTTTTCAGTCGCAGGGCAGACGCTGCTCCCGCTGGCTCCAGGTGCTGTGTGCTGCTTCAGGGTTGGGGATTTAAGTGACAGCAGTCTCTGGCCAGCAGCCTCTTTGGGCAGAAATTGGCTTTGCTAAATAGTGAATTGTGGAATCGTGGAGTCATAGAATCCTTAGAGTTGGAATGGACCTTTAAAGGTCATCTTGTCTAACTCCCCTGCAACGAACAGGGACGCCCACAGCTCCGTCAGTGTTCAGGGCCCCATCCAAATTGACCTTGGGTGTCTCCAGGGATGGGGCACCCACCGCATCTCTGGGCAACCTGTGCCAGCGCCTCACCACCCTCTCTGTAGAAGACTTTTTCCTTATATCCAACGTGAATCTCCCCTTTCAACTTTTCCTCAGTACTTTTTTCTGTTGTTTAATTGTATCAGTTTCTTTTTTCCTTTTTTTTTTTTAAGTGCTGTGTGCTGATGAGCATCTTATAATTAGTCTTTTTAGTTCTCCTGTAGTGCAGAATTGTGACTGTGACCCAAACATTGGCCTCAGAATGATCTGCCCTACTTTAGACATATACTTAACGCAGGAAGAACTGCGCTCCTCAGCCAGGTGTGGGAGTGCCAGAGCAGGCTGACCCCAGCACAGAGCCTTGGATCAGGGGAGGCTGGAGCTCAAACAGGAGCACACAGAGCCAAGCTTTGCAAGGAAGCCCAGTTCTGAGTTATGCTTGAATGGAAAAAAAAAGGAAAAAAAAAAAAAAAAAAAGAAAATTTTTCTTTCTAAAGGAGTATGGTCAAGAACACAAGCTTGATATTTTTTTGGGAAAAAAAAAGTTAATTTGGAGAATGATGGAGAAGGGCAGTAATGAAAGAAAAACCAGAGCAATTAAAGCGGCAAATGGCAAAGTAAGATAGAGGCTACAGTCACCCTGGTGTGAGATGGGAAGAGTTTGCTCAGCACGAGGTGCACCTTCCAGCTGCCCATCCATTCCTAAATTCAGAGCTCATACTTTCAGACCGTTTTTCTCCTCTAAATGCTGATGTTGGAGACCCTGGGCATCCCTGGGCCCATCGAGTAGCTCAGTTCCATCAGGTCAACCGAATTCAAAGCACATGAGCTCCTAAGGGGCAAGTCTGGGGAAGAAGAGAGGTCACTTCTGCTGTGCTTTATGGTTTAATTCAGCTGCTGCATTAATTCACTTCTTTTGGCTCCAAAGATCACTGCAGGTCTAGGAATTCTTATTTGTTTGCTTATTTTGTGTGACAAACATGTCTCCAGAATAAATGTTACGTTGAAGCTTTTGTTATCAGTGGAGCGTGGCTGAAAGGGAACAGCAGGACTTCGTCCCACCTGCAGGTACAGGCAGTCAGCAATAGTGATGAAACTCTTTTCAAAGTGCCTTTTTGGAGCTGCTTGAACTATGAGGACTGCAGATATCGTTGTGATTATCTGCTCTGGCTACCAGGTATAATCTGAGCCCTGATTTTCTCCTGCTCGAATCACAGCAAGCAACCAAGCATGATGTAACATCTGCTAATGATGGAGATTCCCACAGTGCCCAAGTGAATTCTTGCAGTGGTTCATTACCTTTGCTGGTATGCCAGTAATACTGTGCCATGTTACTACTTCCAGTTCACCTAGCTTCAGCTTCTGGACATCAGATTGTAGTAAGACTCTGCTGTGTTGGAGAGTCTTCGGTGGGAAAACAGACATGGTCCGTATACCCCACAGCCTGCTTTTTGGCTAGCAGATTAGATTGAGCTTTCAAGGCCTCTCACTGCAAGGTCAGTTGTCTTTATTGCCATCTTCATGGCTCTTCTCCCATTCTCTCAATGTCCTGCTGAGCACCGCAGCCAGCTGCTGGCTGGCACAGGCACCCAAAGGCAGGGGCATGTAGTTTCATGTGAATTTCGTCTGAACATCTGATTTCCCCCCAGCTCTTCCAGGCGTGCTGAGCCTATGGAGCACCTTCACATGTGAGGAGGGTGCAGTCCCAACTCTACCAAACCACCCAGAGTTTCACAACCACCACTTCCCAGGACAGAGCATCCTGCCTTGTATGCGTGACCCATGATCTGTGTTCTCGTTCCAAGATGTGTGACTATATTTGGTGATATTGACAACCTGCTCGTGCCCAGTTTAACCAGCAACCCAGGCCATTCTGTGTCAGTGATCTGGCTTCTTCTCTATTTGCCAGTCTCACAATCTCTGTGTCATCAACAAACTTTACTACAGATGATTTAATATTTGTTCAGATCATTGATAAAAACGTTGAATAGCATCGGGCCAAGAACCGACCCCTGGGGAACTCCACTAAATCCACCCCTGCTGGGTGAGGAGTTCCCATTTGCAATTGCCTCTGAGACACGTTACCCCGCCAGCTTTTAATCTATTTAATATGTGCCATGTTGATTGTGTATTGTTCTAGTTTCTTAATCAAAATGTCATACAGTACCAAGGCAGTTGCCTTGCAGAAGTCTAAGTCTATTACACCACCAATATTATTTTTATCAATCAAACTTGTAATTTCACAAAAAAGATGAGTCTTTGTCTGACAAGTCCTGTTCTCCATAAGTCTGTGTCAATTAGCATTCGCTGTATTTGTTCAGCTGAAATCCCCACCCGCCGCGCTGTGGCAGCCTTCAGAGCTGCCAGCCCAGAGCTGCCGCCCGCTGACCGTCCTGCCAGGGTCTGGCTCAGCCAAAAGCTCCACAAACGTTGGCAAACGTCGCCTTCCTCTATTGCTGTTGACTGTTCTAGTGCCTCCATCCAGAGACAGACTAACACAAACAACTTCAGAAGAGCTATATTTATTCCTTTTATATTGAGAAATTGCTTCTCATCAGCTTCAGGTTTGCACTGCGTACATTGTCTTCAGCTCTTGGCTTTCCTTATCAGTTTTCTACAGTTTCTCACTTCTCATTCATTATTATCAGTTTCCCCTTTCTTAAGTTATATATGGTTTTCTTATTTTTCACAGTTGTCTTCACTTCTTTCACAAGCCAGAGTCTTTTTTTTAACCAGTGTTGCCTTCTTTCTCAATTGTGGGATTGTGGTTTTGGGGCAACACGTAAAATGTTTTTCAACAATTCCCACTTAGCATTCACATTTTTCTGATTAAATACTTCTCCCAATTGATTCGCTTCATAATTGTTTTCAGCTCTGTGAAACCGAATCTTTTTAGCATTAAGTGGATATATTTTCAGAACAGAGCTTCACTTAGAATACTCACTTTACAGCCATTCTGCTTCTCAGTTAAATAAAATAAAACACTGACTCTTAGAGACATTTGGCATGCATTTCAGGGTCACAGAACTGGGAAATGAGAATTGTTCCTTAGAAAAGATGTTTTCATGAAAAGTTTTTCTTGTTGTTGTTGTTTTGTAAAAGTGTGTATTAATTTGGATAAAGCGGGGCTTGCCTAAAGTCCAGAGCTGTGAAGCATCGTCTCTCTTTTGGCAATTGAAGTTTCAGACATTTAGTCCCAAACTGTGAAGTTCCTGGTGACTGGAAAAAGAGAAACATCAGCCCTATTTTTAAGAAAGTGAGAAAGGAAAACCCAGGGAACTACAGGCCAGCGAGCATCAGCTCTGTGCCTGGGCAGATGATGGAGCAGATCCTCCTGGAAGCTGTGTTAAGGCACATCCAGCAGAAAGGAGCGATTGGAGACCGCCAGCGTGGCTGCGCCAAGGGCAGAAGGTGCCTGAGCGATGTGGCGGCCTTCTATGGTGGAGTGACGGCGTTGGTGGACGGGGGAAGGGCAGCGCATGTCATTGCGTGGACTTGTGCAAGGCCTTGGACATGGTCCCTCGCCACATCCTGCTCTCTAACGTGGAGAGGAGTGGATTTGAAGGCCGGGCTGTTGGATGGACTGGGAGTTGTCTTGGTGGCAGCCAAGGGCTGTGATCCATGGCTCTGTGTCAGGGTGCTGAAGCCAGTGTCAGGGGCTCAGTAAGGGCAAGCGCAGGGTGCTGCCATTGGGTGGGGGCAATGCCAGGTATTGATACAGACTGGGGGAAGATGTGCTTGAGAGCAGCCCTGCGCAGAAGGACTTGGGGTTCTGGTGGGCGAGAAGCTGGCCATGAGGCAGCAGTGAGCGCCTGCAGCCCGGAAGGCCAGCTGTGTTGTGGGCTGCCTGAGAAAGGGGCGGCCAGCAGGAGAGGGAGGTGATCGTTCCCCTCCATCGGCTCCTGTGAGGCCCCATCTGCAGCGCTGCGTCCAGGCCTGGGGCCCCCAGCACAGCAAGGACGTGGAGCTCTGGCAGCGGGTCCAGAGGAGGCACTGAGATGAGCAGAGGGCTGGAGCAGCTCTGTGTGAGGAAAGGCTGAGGGAACTGGGCCTGTTGAGCTTGGGGAAGAGAAGGCTGTGGGGAGACCTCACGGTGGCCTTCCAGTGCTTGAAGGGAGTGTATGAACAGGAGGGGGAACGGCTGTTTGTGAGGGTGGATGGTGATGGGACAAGGGGAATGGTTTTAAAGTGAGACAGGGGAGGTTTAGGTTGGATATGAGGAGGAAGTTTTCAGCCAGAGGGTGGTGAGGCACTGGAACAGGTTGCCCAAGGAGGCTGTGGATGCCCCATCCCTGGCGGCATTCAAGGCCAGGCTACATGTGGCTCTAGGCTGGGCTCTGGGGGTGGGTTGGTGCTGCATAAACAACTGCAGGTCGTCGTAGCAAAGTGAATATGACACATTGAATAATTTAAATAATTTAATGTAATTGAACATAAAATAACATAACACAACATAACATAATCTGATGGAGTCCCACACTGTCGCCGTCCAAGGTGTTGTTGGTGGACAGCCCAGGTTTGGAGGGGTTGGGCTGGGGCCGGTGCTGGTGGCCCTGGAGCACTGCCGCTGCTCTGTGCGAGGGCCGGCGAGGAGCCCAGGGCTACAGGTAGCCTTATTTGTTGGCTGTGTCTCCTGCTGCGGCCGTGTCTCCTGCTGCACCACGTGGGCCGGTTTCTGCCGATGCTCCCGTGTTGGCTGAGCCCACCCAGCTTCGCCTAGCGCGAGCGCTTTTGTTCTGGAGCATTCTGGCTCTGCGGCAGCTTCCTCTTGGTGGCTCGGATGCTGCCAGCGCTCTGCTGGTGCCCGCTGGGGGTGCAGGCAGGGGCTGGGCACTCGTCCGCGTCCTCATCCATGCCCGGGATGTTGTCCGGGACCTCTTTGGGTGCCACTTCTGGAAGAGCAAGAAAATCGCCACAGGGTTGAGGCCAGCTTTCCCACACCAAATGGGTGCAAACACTCCCCCGCCAGTTCAGCTGCCCCCAAACTCACCGCTGTTCATCCAAGCCAGGAGGTCACCGATGTCGGTGATGTCCTCCGCGATGTCGGAGCTGGTTGTCGCTGCTGGAAAGCAAGAAAATGCGCCGTGAGGCAATGCCATCTTTCCCACAGCCACCCGGTGCGGCCAGCCTGCCGCCCACTCTGCAGCCCCCAAACTCACCAGCTGATTCCAGCGCTGCGATGCTGCAGCTGAGCGGAGCCGCGTTGGGATGGGGGCACACGCCGATGGGTGCTGGCGGCCCCTGGTCCTCCGGCTCCTCGGGCTGCTCTAAGATGGTGGGCAGGGTGCCGGGCACGAGGCGCACCCGCTGCCGCACTGGAGGTCCTTGGAGGACAGTGGAGGGGCCGGGCTGGCTGGCAGCCTGCAGCGGGCAGCTGCCTGCGGGCTGCGGGGGCTGCCCACGCAACGCGGCCCCGGGCTGCTGCCCCATCGGCTGCTGGGGCTGCATGGTCCCTGCCGCCGGGGGGTGATCCCAGCAGTGGGCAGGGGCATTGGGGGGAGGCATACCCGGCTTCATGCCCCCGGGTAGGAGCAAGAGCAGGGGTAACTGCTGCCCCCCAGGTGGGAGATGTCCCAAAACAGTGAGCAGCCCCTCAGGAGTGAGCTGAACCACAATGGGTGGCACCCCCTGAGGTGGGAGCTGACCCACGGTTGGGGGCTTCCCCCCACGTGGCCGCTTGCCCACAGCTGGGGCCTTCCTCCCACGTGGTCGCTTACCCGCTGCTGGGCGCTTCCCGCCAGTTGGGAGCTGACCCACGACTTGGGGAATCACCCCAGAGGGCAGCTGACCCACAACTTGAGGGATCGCCCCAGGTGGCAGCTGAACCACTGTTGTGGGCATCCCCCCAGGTGGGAGCTGACCCACAGCTTGGGTTGTCACCCCAGGTGGGAGCTGACCCACCACTTGGGTTGTCACCCCAGGTGGGAGCTGACCCACCACTTGGGGCATCACCCCAGGTGGGAGCTGAACCACTTGGGGCATCACCCCAGGTGGCAGCTGAACCACTTGGGGCATCACCCCAGGTGGCAGCTGAACCACTTGGGGCATCCCCCCAGGTGGCAGCTGAACCACTTGGGGCATCCCCCCAGGTGGCAGCTGAACCACTTGGGGCATCACCCCAGGCGGCAGCTGAACCACTTGGGGCATCCCCCCAGGTGGGAGCTGCGCTCCCTGTCCCTGGACCCCTGGTGCCCCAGGCCAGACAGAAGCCTGAGGCACCACGTAGGTGACACTGGGGACAGGGAGGGACTGTGTTGACACTGGCACTGCTCCGCTGCTGTTGGTCTGCATTGCAGCAGTGGCCAGTGGACGCACAAGGGATCCAGGGATAATTGCGTCGGGTGTCGGAAGCACCGTCGGCATCCGTGGAGAAATTCTCTCTGTGGAGAAATGCCCAGATGGGCGCTGGGGTGAGATCTGGGGCACTGGCATCCCCTGGAGGGCCGCCGTGCCAGGAGCAGAGGGAGCCTGCTGCCTTACCTGCCAAGGTAGCTCGAGAGTGGCAGTGGGGGGTTCCGTGACCGCTGGGGTCAGCCCCTCTCCGCTGAGGTCACAGTGCGCCTCTGTGACACGGTCCCGTGGTGACACAGGCATTGCTCTGTGCCTGCCCCGTCACCACCGCTTGCTGAGATTTGAGTTAGATGTGGGGTGGGATTCCGTCCCACTGTGGATGCCCCATCCCTGCTGGCATTCAAGTCCAGGCTGGATGTTGCTCTGGGCAGCCTGGTCTGCTGGTTGGTGTCCCTGCACGCAGCAGGGGCTGGAACTGATGAGCATTGTGCTCCTTTGCAATCCAGGCCATTCTGTGATTCTATGAAATCTTTTAAAAGTTCTCCACATTCCCCTAACATCTTTCTTTAATCACTTTGAAGTTGTTCAGGTTTAACTGAGAATCCAACTTCATTTTTTTTTTTAATTATTTTATTTTATTTATTTTATTCTATCCTATTTTATTTCATTTCATTTCATTTCATTTCATTTTTTTTTTCTAATGGGAAATGAACATTGCATATTGAAATAATGAATTTGGTGTCCAGAATACCACGTTTCATTGACAAAACTTTTGAACGAGCATTTGTCAGTCATTCTGAGGAGGATGCCTATGGTGAGAATGTCCCTGCTGAGGTGCTCAGCTCATAGAATCATGGCAGGCAGATGGCCGTAGATCACAGAATCTTAGATTCATAGGGTGCTGGAATCATAGAATGTTTTGGGTTGGAACAAAGCTCAACTTCCACGGCCCCCACTGCAGTCAGGGTTCCCGATCGGTAGATCACATAGTATGTCATGTTGCCCAGGGCCCCATCCAAGCTCCCCTTGAACACCTCCAGGTTTGGAGCATCCACAGCCTCTCTGGGCAGACTGTTCCAGCACCTCACCTCTCTCTCTGTTAGAAGTTTCCCATGACATCTGATCCAAATCTCTCTTAAGTTTAAAGCCCTTCCCCCTTGTCCTATCACTACTTACCAGTGTAAAAAAATGATTTCCCTCGTGTTACTAAACTCCCTTGAAATACTGGAAGGCCACAGTGAGGTCTTCCACCAGCTTTCCCTTCTCAAGACTGAACAAGCCCAGTTCCTTCAAACCTGTCTTCATAGGACAGGTGCTCCAGCCCTCTGAGCATCCTCGTGGCCCTTCTCTGAACCCTCTCCAAAAGCTCACTATCTTTTCTGTGCTGGGGTCCCAGACCTGGACGCAGTACTCCAGCTGGGGCCTCAGGAGGGCAGAGTAGAGAGGGACAATCCCCTCCCTTGTCCTGCTGTCCAGCCCTCTTCTGATGCAGCCCACAGTAGCCCCTGACCTTCCAGGCTGCAGGTGCACGCTGCTGGCCCATGTTAAGTTTTTCATCTACCAGGACCCCCAAGTCCTTCTCAGCGGGTCTGCTCTCAAGGAGTGCTCCCCCAGTCTGTTTACTGCAATTACCGCGACTCAAGTGCAGAACCTTGCACTTTGCCTTGTTGAACATCAGGTTCACAAGGGCCCACATTTTGAGTTTATCAAGTCCCTCTGGATGGCATCCCTTCCTTCTGCCATATCTAGTGCATCACTCAGCTCAGGGAGCAGAATAGTGTCTGGGTCATGGCGAGTCACCGATGTGTCCTGTGCAATTATCTGCAAATGGGCGTCCATCCTCAATCTCTTGCTTTTTACTGAAACTTGTGCAGGGCTCAGACTGTGGTCTGTGGACTCTCATCTTCTCTTAATTATGGTGCTGGGGATAACTCCACATAAATTGCAGCTGGCCATTCAGACTGTAGAACTGGGTCTCTCTGCACAACTCTACAGTCTGAGGTCATGCCCACTACTAGGGTACCAGCCAGGTAATGAGGTTTCAACACAGTCTCTATCTCTGTACCTCCCCATCAAGGCTGTTGGGTTGTATGGAGCCTTGACAAACATGGTGCTTTCCTTCATCCCTCCTCTGACTTAGATCCCAGGGTGTTCTGAGCTCTGTCTTGCAACCTCTGCTCTTCCCAGAAATGGCACACTGCCTCTGGAGGTACAGTTACAGGAGTTGACGTATCTCATTCTTATGAGTCAATTTTCATTCACGCCTTGACTTTCTGCAGAGCCATTTATTGGCTTTCATAGCAGAAGGAATCATCTACTCTGACATCTGCACAGCAGGCCAGGGACTTTCATTTGCTGATTGCTGCATCCCTCTGTAAATTCCAGTCAAGAAAAAACATTTATTTTACAGTGAGATACCCAATCTTGAATTAAAGCCTTTCAGCTGAAAGCAAATCTTCTGCATCCTAGGCAAGTTGGTCCAATGGACCAATAGTGCTCAGTGTTAAAAGTGCATTGCATATTTCTGCACAGATCCTGTTTTTGCCAAGAGCTCTCTGCCAGAGAGGTCTGCCTCCCACACTGGTGCTGCAGGATGACTGGAGCCACTGCTGCCTGCCTGCAGAAAAGAAAGCCCGTCATTCCCAGGAGAGCTTCTGGTTTTCTCCAGTCCTCTTGAGCTCCATTAGCACTCCCAGAGCTCAAGGCAGCCCGGGCAGGTTTCCCTTCCTGTCCCTATCCATCTCTTGCTCAGCTTTCTCCCTTGTGAAGACATACAAGACCTGATCATGCTCTTAATGGCAGTATTCCTTCCATGGGATGTTTCCTCATGATTTTCCTTCCCCATGTCCCTGCCTAGGAATGTTTATTGACCTGTCCACGATGGACATTGCTGTCTCAGTCACTCCACCAAATGTTGTTGCATTCTGTGGTTGGCCCCTGGGACATTCAGCCATGGGACTCTCAGCCTGCTGACCTTTCACATTCACCAGTTCCTCCATGCCACCAGAACTCCCCATCTGGCCATGCTGAGGGTTATACAGTGGGGCAGCATGAAAGCAAAGGCAGAGCTGGAGGGATGCGGCTGCTCCCTTGTGGCTGCACCCCAAACTCCGGAGCCTCTTGGCTGGCCCCAAGAAGGCAGTGCCCGTAGGCCAGCAGAGCTCCCACTGTAACATCCAGGTCTACTCACGCTCTCCCCCCTCTCCCTGCAGCCCTGGGTCACGTAACGTGCTTGGAGAAGGCCAGACAGACTCTCTGGCAGACTCTCTGGCATCGCTTTTTCAAGTCTGATTAATGGGTCCAGCTCTCCTCCAGACTGAACTCAAGAAAATACCATTATCTCCCGCGCAGTGACTCAGATATTGTATTGCGACATCTTGTTGGTAATATCAGGTCGCAGGCAACGATATTAAAAATGAGTGTTTTACCCTGGACAGGGCATTAGCTATGAAATTAAATCTGTATTTATTGCCTTTAGCCATGAGTCTCTGGGCTCTTCCAGAATAAATGTTTTTAGTTCCGTACGGGAAGATTCTGGCATTTATAGGCCAGACATTTAGGAGTGGGGCGTATACTGTATGCACACCCACACGATGCCCTGGGCCGTGTGTTCCTGTGCTGTTGGTATCATGGCAGGGATGGCAAACTCACACTTTGCTGTACTGAGTCCAGCTGAAGCATCTCTGTGTCCCGCTGAAGTCCATCTCTGGCTGAGTGCAGAAATTATATTTTAAATGTAATCATAAACTTAAAAAAAAATGCAATGTATGATCACACTATAAATATATTCTAAATTTATAAATGTGACCTGTGGATATTTGCATGAGTGCTCTTAGCCATAGCCAGGGTGAGCACTGTGCGGGCGGAGGGGGAATCCATATCCGCTAACAGAGCACCATGTGCTGCTGCTGCCATGCATGGGGAGAAGCTGGGGCTGGCCCCAGTAGGAAAGCCAACATGTGGCAGTGTGACAGTGTGCCTGGTATGAGAGGCTGTCTACCCCGAGGCCCCAGGGTTTGGTCATCAGCCACCTCCACAGCTCCTCACAGCAGGCACTGAACAAGAGGGTTTCACTGAAATGCGTGTTTTACACAGGGAAAAATCTGTTTTGGAAAAATAATCATTGTTACCATCATCATTTCACTGAATGTATCATAATCAAAACCAGGTGGCTTTGTTTGAATGCAAGTGGTTTATCAGTGGTGTTTTTCCAGTTAAAGACCAGGAAAGATACACCTTTAAAAAAGCGATGAGAAGTGATGCTGTTTGATTTGTTCAGTCTGAAATTCCTGATGTGCAGTTTCTGGGTTTTATTATTTATGCTTGGGTCTTTTTTTGTTGGTTTTTCTTTTGCAATTACTTGGACAGGCCCTTAGATCAGGTGCAGCTTCTGTTCTAGATGGGCTTCTGGCAGTGCCAGGCTATCTTTCAGCATTGCTTGGGTTGTGTCTCCTGTAAGGTGGGAATCACCTCTGGCCCTGAGGGACATTACAAAATGTACCTGCAATTTCCAGACTGGCAGTTATGATAAAATCCAGCCAAATCAGTTTTCCAGCAGTATTCCCAGCCCCGTGGCATGGCGTGAAGTGCAGCAAACTAGGCTGAGGCTGGTCCAATGGATCTTGGCTCTACGGCACTACTGGAATGGGAAAGAAATCAGATATTCCAAACGTTCTTGGAAAGCCTGTGTGATGTCATTTGCAATGCCCAGTCATGACAGCGCAGCTTAGGCTGGCCCCTGCCTGTCCCTGTGCAGTGCCCTTGGTGTGAGGTGGTTGGATGCCAGGTTCAGCTTCACCCTGACGACACGGCCTTCGCTGGAGCTGGGGCTCCTCATGCAGACCTTGCCCACCTCTCCTCCTCTCAGCCCTCCCCGTCTTCCTCTCCACCATCAAGCCATAACATCTGTTGGCTTGCATTCCCCCCTGTGGTTTGGGATGGCCGCTGTCCCACAGGGCATGAACATCTCACCCAGAACGTCCCCTGCCGGGCAGGACCAG